TACCCCTGAAAAAGTAGATGTAAGAACTCGGTGTTGAGGTGAAGCTTTTGGTTGGTCTTGGTGCCTTGTAGATGTCCATGAACCAATGGTGCATGGCCAAAACTGTTTGTCTTCTTGTGGGAAGAGCAAACTCTCACATCCCCGGGGTACTCATATATTCCCATGTGCTCCCCCTTGGGAAGAAGAGCCAAAGGACCGGGCCCGCGAAGTCCAACTAATGCTGCGAATCATCTGCGACTCATACCCTCGAATCAAACCCCCGAATCATACCACCTATTCAAACTTCCCGGCCCGACTAAGTTTAAAAAAACACTCCCATATATTCATATACATATATTATATCAGTTGGCGTGGGCCATCTCTCTAATTATGGTGGGTAGTTGTAGGTTTGCGTGTTTGGTTGGATATTGGGGGGGTTCTTGATCTATTGGAGGGTGGTCCGATCTACTGTAGCCAGTTCTGATATAGGACCCTCATGAGAGTCTACCTCATGAGGGTGGTCTGGGAATCCTGGGCGTTTGTCGTTGGCCTATTGAGGCCTATTACTTCCCGCTGTAGACACACAAAGTAAGTATATAGATTGCCATTTTCGACCTCAATGGGTCTGACCGTCCTTGTTCTTCTTTTAAGAAAAGGCCCCTCCTTGGGTCAGCGTTGGACCCCCCAATCGTATATGGAGCAACGGTACATCCGTCCTCTCCTCCATTCGAGGATCGGGCACTTTAGCCAGTGCCCCTTTGATCTGGAAGCCGCGGCGGGCCATTTCTGATCCGAGCTCACTGGAGATGGTGAACGGTCCTGCGCTGCGCAGAGCGAGCTCGGCTTCGGAGCATGGTGATGGGACGGGATCGGAGCAAAAGTCCCACTGGTTGGACGAGAAACATGGACTCTGAAAACCACGGGATGCCACGGGTGTAGCTAGAGGAATACCACATCTCCCAGGAGGCTTTTAACACGGGGTCCGTGTTGGTTTTCGGGGGGGGGGTAAGTTTGGGGTCCTAGGGGTTGAGGAAACCAGTAAAAGCACCAATGCCATCCGAGCGATGTTGTGGAATACTGTCGTGCCACATGCCACATGCTGCTGGAGCAAGGCCATGAGCATGTAAATGTCCGTCGATCTTGTTCAGAAGCCCAAGCGCGAAGGAGTAAAGATGAATGGGAATATGGAGAAGATCTGTGGCCTCAGTTGACTTCGGAGTGACTGTAGACTTCGCTAGTGCAGCTGAAAGGGCTCCCCTACATGCGAGGGACCGGCTGTTGGAGAAATGGCAGCCGACGTGTGCCGGGATTGTTTGCGGTTGAGTTCAATAATGGTCATTGGGTCAATGAATGGACCATGTGGCTTGGCAGAGTCTCGATTTGCCATGTTGGACCTAGCTAGACAGGGATATGTTATTTCCCAGCTTTGGGCACAAGGACAAGTCTTAATGTACTACAGTATACACATCAAACTACTCACATCTACTCCCAGGACTCAAATTGAACGACCTGATTAGAAAGAGAGAGAGAGAGAGAGCCCTCTCCGGTCTTCGGAAACCTGTTCTTCACGTGGAGTACTTCGGAAGAGATCGGGAACTGTAATTACAAAACCCCAACCCGCAAAGCCTGTGTCAGAGCACCAGCTTCCAACAAACCTAATTAACATAATTAATCAATCACCTGGCAGTTGGCAGATGATCTTCCAAGTCTGAAAGATGTTGAAGATTGTTTGTGACTGTTTTCTGTAGGGTCCCTCACTTCTGTCAAGCTTGGATATAGTCTGTGGATGTCTATAGTCATCGACTATATCTATCTGCTTACTCTTCCCCCAAGTGACGGACCAATCGAAGAAAAAAACAGTCCATTTCGGTCCGACCACTAAGACCACCCTCAGAAATTACCGCTCCCTGGCCATGGCAGGTTCGCCCCGGCTCAGCCCCTTGGCGCCGGTGAGAACGCGTCGGACATGAAGAGCTGTCAGATGCAGACAAGAGCAGTCAGACACGGCGCATGTGTTGAGTACAGGAGGTGGTGGGGGATGTTTTCCATCAACAGGTGAGCCTTTGGGCACGAAATGATAGATTCTGACTGGATGTTGGAAGACCTTCCGAACCTCGTACAACATCGTACAACCTAATGTTTTCACAAGACGAGTTCTCAGGTCACTCGATTTGACACTGCTCAGTTGTACCATATCTTCCCGGGCTTTTCCCACCCGGAAGGCCGAGTTCGAGCCGCGGATGAGCGACAAAGTCCGGTCGTCGTCGTTGTTCGGACCGGAGGACTCGAGGCAAGTCGTGTCCTGGGCACTGGGCCAGTCGTCGTAGGCCCCTCCCCCCGCCCCTTGCAACAGAGAATCAATCGATTCTCAGGTGTGTCAACAGGGCGGTATCAACAGGGCGAACTGGCTCCCAGGATTTTCCAGGTTCTGGATTTTTCTTTATCATGACAAGTCTGGAGAGTTTACTCCAGGCTGATGTTTAAAAGACGGGGAGTGAGTCCGGAATTCTAGATGACGGGTCAGTGGCCAGCCTCCTGGGTGATCCATGGAACAAGTTTTAGTCCCAGTCAACTCGCTACAGATAGGCAGGTGCTGGCCAACATCATCCACTTGACGAAGCATTCGGTTGTTTCCTTCAGCGCCCAGAAGGTCCAGGACATTCTAGATTCTAGGGCAATGCAATTTGGAGCAGGACACCGTTTATCATTTTTCACAATTCGGTGATTGTACTCCAAGAAGAAAGGTCCAAGAAATCAACGGGTGATGTTTGTCCAGGAACTGGTTCGATATGGTTCGATATTTGATGAAAGGTATTAAACATGACATATAATAACCACAATAACCATAATAATAACATAATAGGTATTATAAACATAATAAATTGTCATAATCATGATTATGTTAATCCCCTTTGACAACCCCCTCCCCCCAGTTTCCCGTGATCCACGCCGCGACTGCCCGGCCCTATTGGCCGCGGGCGTGACGTTTCGACGCGGCTTTTTGGCCGAATGAACCGCAGAGCCAGGGAGTGCTTCAAAATGGGGAGAATGCTCGCCGTGTGCATTGAAATCATCCTACGAACCGGACCTTCAAATGACGTGTTTTGTTGCACCCTAAGAATCCGTCAAATGGAATGGGGGTTGAGGGTTTGTACCCCTTCTATGGAGAGTCCGACCCAGGATTCGTAGGGCACGCCGTTTAATGATACTAAAGACTTGGACCACCTGAGTTGGTGTACTCTGAGATCCTGGCTGCCGACTTGGTTTGGAGGGGTGTGTGACAACTGCAAGGCCACTAATTAAATCTATAGTTACCGCATACCGGTCAGGTGATGTAGGAAGACATGGAGTGTTTGAAACGTACCCGACTGCTGAAACCACACCACGGGTAAATAGCAGATGTAAATAGTCTAAAACACATGGCGTGTTTGTGAATGATACAAAGAATCCGCAACGTGAAGAGGAAGCAAGTTGCTGAGTTACTATTTCTCATGTGGGTTCCAGTGTGGACGAACTCAGGGACCACTCACCGGCTGGCGGCTAAAGGAACTGATTGTGAGACTGTTTGGAGGACTGGCCCGCCGAAGAACGCAGTGAGATGGCTCAACCGGCTCAACCGTCCATTCCTTGGCCGAACCCGCGTGCGGGAGGCGTGGCAACTTCGGGCGTGACACATGGAATCAACACCGCGGTTGGGATCCCTAGGGCTCCAAGTAACCTTCTAAGAAGGTGGGACTGGGGTGGGTTTAGATGGTCCGAATACCTCCTGAGGAGGTACAACTGGAGCCCTAGGGAATATTCGTGTGCGGGTGTGTTGGAGATTCGTCTTTGTTTTTGATTGACCCGGCATCATTGATAGATCTGCCAGTCCTCAGACACGGGAAGCCTGGACATTTTTTATGTGGGAAGCATGGATGGAAGAAGCAGACACTTGAGGCGTGCAGATCCTGCATGCTTCACTGCCTGATGACGGGCTTTGGCTGTGCAAATGTCAAACCAGGAATGATTGATCTAGATCAGCACAGCTACTCCGATCGGAAAGATCAATCAGTGATGCTACCCTGCTAAACAGCACTTCAACAAAATTCAGCACTAGACTAGATGCGACACATGTGTGCCCGGAATTCATCACTCCACATCCTGTGAATTGACCCAGGCTACAGCAGGGATCATGATCTTCCATCTTGGGGGATGGAATCAACGAATCAAAGCGCACCAACCAGAACAGTCAAGTTTCCATGATTGGAACCGATGAAATCTAAGTTTTGACACTCAAGAAACTTTATCACGGAGCGCTGTGAATGACGCAGGAGCCTGTTTCGTTGTTGATACATGAATTGGAATATTTATTCAGTCAATGTTGCTATTACTAAGTAAAAGTTGCGATACCATGTTTATATTGTATGCAAGATATTCTACAATGTGTCATTGTTTGTATGCTTTTTACGTCCTTGTTCGCAAAAGCTCCATCAGTTTTGAAGCGCCAGCCGTGCCATGCTCATCGCTGTGGTTGGCGAAGAGCTGGCGCTTCGCACCGGCTATGTTTGAGGCGGCTGACTCTTTTGGGGGTTGGGTGGTCTAAGATGCTCTAATTAAGTTTTTGGCCCGAGGTCGCCCCAAACCCATACCATCGTTGCATATCGTTGCCATTGCACAAAAGGCACTATGACGTGACATGACTTGACTGTATAGTTTCAAGACTGCTTGCTTATGACCGTTCAGAAACACACCGTGCATTCACGTTCGTCACCTGTCACGGTCTCTCTTGTCCTGGACGCGTCTTCTCTCTTTCGGCTCATGTCTATATATACGGCACACCTGCAGTCGACCGGGATTGCCCAAGTAGTTGGTACCCCCCTTTAAATCCTTCAAGTTGAAAGCAAAAACAACAAAACAGCCAACTAACCAGCCAAACAACTGACCGAGCAACCCAAAACCAAGCAACTAAGAGAAAACATCACAAATCGAACGAGTGTTACATGTAAATGGCTAGAAAGATGAGCTGCATTCTTTTTTCCAAAGACGAATTGCGGGGGGGACCCAAGCCTCGGCAGAATCCCTGTGAGGTTTAGGAAGTATGTCAGCCATGGCCCGTGCTGCCCTTGCGCTGTTGCTTGGAAGCTCGCTGGCTTCCGCAGCAGTGCACAGTGGCTTCCTCTACGACGAGCTTTGCGTGGACCGGGGGGTCGGCATTGATGGCGTGGACACTCGGACCGAACCGCAACGTCACACTGTGCACTGCTTGTTGGTGTCCATTTGCCGCAACTCCGGCTACGGCCTCTTGACGAAGCCCAGCGGACAGAGCCAGTACTCCATGGAGGTGCTCTTGAGCGAACGTGGCAATGCGGACGTGGTCACCTGGCTCGGCACACAGGAGTACTGGGGCACTAATGTGAAGGTGGAGATCAGTGGGCCCTATGACTCGCAGGGACGGCTTCATGTGGAGACCGTCACGCGCGATGGCAGTGTTTGGAATGGCTCAGGTGCAGGCACGGCCGCCGGTGACGCCGGTGACACCGGCACTTCGATGGCTAGCACGACTGCAGTAACTAGCTCCACTGGCAGCACACTCAGCTCAAGCACTCCTGGCGCGAGCACAACACCTAGTTCAAGCAAACCTAGCACAACCCCCAGTGCCACAAGTGCCACCGGCACCACTCCTGCCCTGGCAGGCTCTGATACAACTGCCGAGACTTCAACTTCTGCTGCTTCGACAACTTTGGCTGCTGGCACTCCTGACACTTCTACTTCTGCTGCTTTGGCGACTTCGGCTGCTGGCTGCGCGCGCGTGCTGCTGGCGTTCACTCTGATTTTCTTCCTCAGTCTTTGAGCCGTGCTAAGCAGCCGCTCCCGAGACGAGGGGATCTGGCCGACCCTGTAAAGGACCTTTCACAACTCGCGCCATTTGGCCTTTGAATCAGTTGACGTTGCACAAAATCATACATAATCGACTCTTCTCACTTGACTGCTGTTTCTGACTTCAAAAGCCCATGTTGGCGGGTGATTCTGTTGGCAAATCATTGCCAGTCTGGCCTATTGCGAGGACCTCGCCTGGGCCGAGACCACACATCCTGCAAAAAGAAATGCATCTAAGAATCTAAGGTGCTTTACATCGCATGAAGCCCCGAACCTTTCGACACATGGAGCTTTTCGAGAGCCAACCAACTTAAGACTCAAGACATTGCTAGCTGGCTGCTGTTATGAGCTGTTGAACTGCCGGTCGTTTCGGTCCGGGGCTTGGAGACCGAAGCCAGCACTTCTTGCGGCGTGAAGCAGGACTACCTACCTATATAAGTGGCTCGTTCTCCCTTTTCGGATCATTGTGCCTAGAGTCTATAGTCTGAGTGGAGTTCTTGAATCAAGCATTTAGTACAAATATCGGATTTTGTTCAACCAGTCAATCAGCATCCGGACGTGATGCGTTCTATCCTGATCCCTCATGCGTTCTGGCCTTCCAAACTGCCTTCCGATCAGGCTTCAATGAGCAGAAAAGCTGAGACTGAGAGTGGGCGCGGAGGGTGGGGCCCTCCTCGCGGCAATTCGACAATGCAAAGCATTTGGCGATTTCCCCGGCATGGGGCGATCAAGGTGAAAAGTCCTTGAAACATGAACATGAAGGTTTTATTTAATATAACCGACATGAACTTCCGGATTTATATAAATATCCACCCAATTCCACCCAGATTTATCAAAATATATATCCAAAGTATCCAGCACAGAGAGCCAGCCAACCCCATCTCACCCAGATCCTCAAGACCAATGCAAGCGTATCGCCCCTTCGGATGCGGCCATTTGACATCCAAGGTTGCTATTTGGTTATGTCCAGATGTTTTGCAATTCTAACCAACTACTGTAATTATTCCACAATGTGCATGGAATATGTAGAGTCAAGCTTTGTGATCATTGCCTCAAAGCTCTCTTTCGGTGAGCTTCGGTGCCGATCTGAACGTAGATTGGCTGGAATGATGACCAAGCGAGCCTTCCCTGAAGATCATTGTTGCTTGCTTCTTGTGCAGAAAGTGAGTGTCCTTTGAATAGTTTGCCATGTTGTTCCCTCTAAGCCCTAGGTGGTGCCAGAGGATATGGTGCCATGTTGTGTGAGGTTCGGCGTCCATGGGGAAGTGCGCAAGCCATTCTGCATTCTGGCGGACCCCAAGAGAGAGTCAGACCTCATTCGAGCAGAATCATTTGCAGACCTCCCCCCTCTCCCAGGCTCCATGGCGAAACGCCACCTGGCGGGCATGCGGCCAGCGAGCTCTAGCCACTTGGATTTTGGATTTCTGGTCCCTTCTTGAAGGTCATGGCCACAGGAACTCACCCGCTTGCACAGAGAGAGAGAGAGGGGGAGGGAGCACTTCTTTTTTCTCCTTCACGCTTTGACATATCAACCGGGCGAGCTGAGAAGTGAGAAGTCCAGAACTGGAAGACACTTCTTACATGGACACTTCTTTAGGTCGTGGAGAGTGTCGTGGAGTTCATTCAGTCGATGCATAATGGAAAAAGTACCACTTCCAAAGAAGCACATCCTGAACGTTTCAATTGCCGGGGCAACTGGTGAAATTGAAAGGCCAAAAAAGACTTTGGGTATTTGGGTATGATTGAAAGCGACGTTCAAATCCATTATTGGGAGGAAGAATTGGTCTCAAACCTGGTCAGTGGGAGAAACTTTTCTTGACCCTTGGGTTTTGACCCATGGTCAGTTTCTCCTGTTTGGCTCCCTTTTCTTTCGAGGCAACGTGGTGAAGTTCCACTCGGACGAGGATGAGTGCCCCGGCAAAACGCAACGTGCTCCGGTTCTCGCACCTTCAGAGTCACAGCTAAACCAGGTTCCCTATGGCGTTTTTTTGCATATGGTGTTTTTCTTTTCGCATGTGTTTAGTTATTTGTTTCCAGTGGTTGACGGAGTGGTTGACGTTGTGTTTGTTTCTGCATGTGTATTTTTGGCTACTCTGACGCCTTTGCTTGGTACATGTCCATGACATATACTTATACCCCTTGAAGATGTCCCCACCTGAATTCGAGAGCCGCCCTGACTCCTCAGCTGTCATAAGAATGGACCAACCTCGCGGGAGCGTAGTCTCCGTCCCATCAGTCCCATTCTTTTGAGGTGCCGATGTGCCAGAAGATGAAGACCCAGACACGACTAATTCATGGGACTGCCAGGACGGACTACCGCCCCAGACAGATCCCGGACTGGCACCACCCCGGACGGCCGTTGGACGGCAGTCCGGACTGGCAGTCCCATGTGTCGTGTTTGGGAAAAGAAGAAAGTCCTGGTAAAGACAGACTGGACGTTGCTCATCCAGCGGAATCGGTATTTTTGGGATCTGAGGGGATTCATCACATAGACATTTGACAGTACATTTGACATGCTGAAGTGTCATACAATGCCTCACCCACAAATGTTCAAAGGCTGCGGAGAAGTATGGCCCAAATCGAAGCGTAGGCAGCAGATGGATGATCGATTCAAAGTATATAATTCAAGGTTGCATGTTTCATTTGCTTAGTAGGGCTCATGATGGCTCAGGTATATCCGCAAGTAACATTGAATTAGTGTTTCTCATGATTGAAACGGATACCATTCGGTCGGAAAACCCATGGTTTCCCCGACCGAAGCGCACGACCATGCTTCGCACTGCTCCGCTGAGGCGCACGGCCATGCGGCCACAGACCTCCGGCTCTCCGCGACGGACCACCAGCAATGTCCGCACGGCTCAGTGTGGGAATGGAGATCCAAAGACGTGCGAAAATGCAAAGATTAAAGCATGTGATCCTTTTTCTTGGTTTGGGAAGGGGGAAAGGTAGGCGTGAAGAGATGTGGGGTTGTTTGGTTCATCAGGTTTACAGTCGGGAGATGTTATGGTTTAACGGTCCACACCCTTAACTGCAGGGCAGGGGTAGTGGCCCGCCTGTCCGCCAAGTGCACCCCAAAAATTGAACCCAGGTCCGGCGCATAGACATCACTAGATATCACTAAGACCATTCCGGCCTTTCGCAGTCGAAACACATGCGTTACAACAGCTTTGTTTGGGATGAGACGTTGAGAGACCTGCCAGAATTATAAACATTGTATAGTGGCACGATGTGGTACATGCTCATATGGGCGATATATAGGCCGGGCTGTTCAACCTCTCTTGCTTTGTTTGGGATGTGGGGCCTGTCCACGGTCAACAGCTTTCCCCTGACAAGGCCTGGCACGACGTCATGGAGATGTGCAGAAAGGTCTTCACCACCAAGATGAACAGCTTCTCGACGGCAGCACCCACCAGTGAGAGAAGTCCCGCTGCTGAGTATTACTCAATGTTGACTTCCTTTCTAAGCAGTTTTTTCTCACACTGTGAAGATGGAGGGCGGGCTGAATCAGTTTTTTTGGGGGCGCATTGGACTTGACTTGATTTGATTTGTGTCCTACGCCCTCCTCGTCCGTCTTCACACTGGATAGAAGTTTGCTGCTTGGAATCGTAGTATTTATGTTCTATTTCTGCTGGAACATTAATAACACATCCTGCCTGTGAAAAATTCAGCACCCCAGGCACCGTTGTACCCTCCAATCCAATCGGTTCGGACATTTTTTCGGAATTTATGGGTGTGTTTTCGCTGACGTTTGTGAAGCCCTAGGGATCCAAGTACCTTCTCAGGTACGGTGATTGGAGACACTGTTATGTAGGTGCCAGGAGGGTCCAGTCGTACCTTCTGAGGTTCGGTACGACTGGATCCCTAGGGAAGGGGTTTTCCCAAAGAGGTCGCTATTCTTTGGCGTCTCGCTCGCACATCCGCACACTTCTGGAGGCGTTGGGTCTGAGATCCTCCAGGACGTCCTTGACTCAGAGCTCGGACGTTTCCCCGGATGTCCGTGCCAGGAAGGAAGTTTGGGGGGCCTTACAGGGGCACTAGAGGTGGAAAATGGGTGGATTTGGATCTGGGTGGTTCTTTCAGATATTGTTTATGCATTACTTTGGATGATTGCGCCCACTGACTTCTTTTGCTTCGTTCGTTGCAACCATCAACCAGATGTGGTGTTGGGCTCGGCTGGACCGACAACTCCCCCATGGTGGCAACTCCCAGAGGCGAATGACATCGAATGACGATGTGAACTGATCCCTCGACCCCGACAGCTTGTGAGACAACGACATTGGAGATTCTCAAGGGCTAGGAAGGAGGATCACCAGCAGGTTTGCTTTTTGATATGCCTTGGAATTGCTGCCAGGAAGATGAAGAACTTGTATTTCAATGTATTTCACTTGTTACTTGTTGCTTTGCCTTTGACCCTCTCATTTCTGGCCCTGTCACGGCCTTGCCTCAGTTGTTCAACACACGCGCCTCCCTTTTCGTCCAGCCGCCGAGGTCCGCACCGAGATGCAGAGGGGGATGACTGCCCTAAGGGAGGAGATCTTCAACATGCTCCAGGACACACGACCACCGCTCGAGGTCTCCGGTCTAGGTGCACCCAGGTGCATGGCAATGCCAGTTTGACCTATGTTTGCCAGGTGTGCAAGTGGATGAAGTTTACCAGCCACCAGGTAGTATGGTACGATTTGATATGATTTGACCTAGTGCGGGTTCAACAACATTCAACAACAACTGAGCCTAAGCTTTATTAGGCTCAAATCGGATTAGGGCCTATCCATCTCCTTTTGCTATATAGTTTAATATATGTGTGCGGGTACTATGCCTTTGAGGACCTTTCTTGCAGGCTCTCCCTTATGCAAGATCCATCGAGACAGAGTAAACAATCATGAACCCAATCTATTGGAGGAAGTTTCTGAGGCTCGGTTGCACTCATGAACATTCCCTTTCGGTTGCCTATTCCTTAAAAGTGGCCATGTCGGTTCAACCTCTCAATTATGCGCAGCAACCTGTCGGGGGCTTCGCTGAAGGAGCGGGAGAAATCCAGCAGCTCACAGATACAGCTCCTTGAATTGGGTGCGATTGTGCAACAAATGCATATACACTCTCCGGTCATT